TTATTATTATTATTATTATTATTATTATTATTATTATTATTATTATTATTATTATTATTATTATTATTATTATTATTATTATTATTATTATTATTATTATTATTATTATTATTATTATTATTATTATTATTATTATTATTATTATTATTATTATTATTATTATTATTATTATTATTATTATTATTATTATTATTATTATTATTATTATTATTATTATTATTATTATTATTATTATTATTATTATTATTATTATTATTATTATTATTATTATTATTATTATTATTATTATTATTATTATTATTATTATTATTATTATTATTATTATTATTATTATTATTATTATTATTATTATTATTATTATTATTATTATTATTATTATTATTATTATTATTATTATTATTATTATTATTATTATTATTATTATTATTATTATTATTATTATTATTATTATTATTATTATTATTATTATTATTATTATTATTATTATTATTATTATTATTATTATTATTATTATTATTATTATTATTATTATTATTATTATTATTATTATTATTATTATTATTATTATTATTATTATTATTATTATTATTATTATTATTATTATTATTATTATTATTATTATTATTATTATTATTATTATTATTATTATTATTATTATTATTATTATTATTATTATTATTATTATTATTATTATTATTATTATTATTATTATTATTATTATTATTATTATTATTATTATTATTATTATTATTATTATTATTATTATTATTATTATTATTATTATTATTATTATTATTATTATTATTATTATTATTATTATTATTATTATTATTATTATTATTATTATTATTATTATTATTATTATTATTATTATTATTATTATTATTATTATTATTATTATTATTATTATTATTATTATTATTATTATTATTATTATTATTATTATTATTATTATTATTATTATTATTATTATTATTATTATTATTATTATTATTATTATTATTATTATTATTATTATTATTATTATTATTATTATTATTATTATTATTATTATTATTATTATTATTATTATTATTATTATTATTATTATTATTATTATTATTATTATTATTATTATTATTATTATTATTATTATTATTATTATTATTATTATTATTATTATTATTATTATTATTATTATTATTATTATTATTATTATTATTATTATTATTATTATTATTATTATTATTATTATTATTATTATTATTATTATTATTATTATTATTATTATTATTATTATTATTATTATTATTATTATTATTATTATTATTATTATTATTATTATTATTATTATTATTATTATTATTATTATTATTATTATTATTATTATTATTATTATTATTATTATTATTATTATTATTATTATTATTATTATTATTATTATTATTATTATTATTATTATTATTATTATTATTATTATTATTATTATTATTATTATTATTATTATTATTATTATTATTATTATTATTATTATTATTATTATTATTATTATTATTATTATTATTATTATTATTATTATTATTATTATTATTATTATTATTATTATTATTATTATTATTATTATTATTATTATTATTATTATTATTATTATTATTATTATTATTATTATTATTATTATTATTATTATTATTATTATTATTATTATTATTATTATTATTATTATTATTATTATTATTATTATTATTATTATTATTATTATTATTATTATTATTATTATTATTATTATTATTATTATTATTATTATTATTATTATTATTATTATTATTATTATTATTATTATTATTATTATTATTATTATTATTATATTATTTTTTATTATCCGTGAATGTTAGCAACTGGACAAATTGAATGCAGCGGTCAAGGAAAAGCGATCAGAATTGGTCAATCGTAAAGGTGTCATTTTCCAGCAGGACAATGCTAGGCCGCACGCGTCTTTGTCCCTGTCTCTTATACACATCTAGATGTGTATAAGAGACAGGTCAGAGAGATGGCAAAAGGTCATCGAACAAAATGAAAAATACATTACAGATTAAACTTCATTTCAATTTTTATTCATTTGAACAAATCGGCAATTACTTAGTTGCCAACCCAATATAATTTTATCATTCCAGTGATATTACTTGTGTTTATAAGATATTGTTATAGCATAGAATTTAGGTTTCATAGAATTCAGTGTAGCTCAAATTTCATGATGTTTTATTAGCAAAATTAAAATCGTTGGCATCAATTGCAAGGAATAAAAACCATGCAGCAGCTTCACTTTTTCTTTAATCATCTTGATAGGTTAAAAACAATACAATTTTAAATTGTAACTAACCAATTTTTCCATGAATATATAAAATTCGCAGATTAATACATTTTCGGTGATACGACTATAGCGTGATAAAAACGTGTACAAAATTTCAGACTAATTACTTTCATCACCAAAAACTGGTAAAACTTCTTGATGTCGCATCAACTGCCACATTCGATCCCACACATTCTACAGTGAAACCTCGATTATCCGAACTTTCGTTACGCTTCATTATCCAAACACGTTTCACTTTGTAACTAGTGTAACTATCACTGGTTACAAAAGTTAGATTGTGACTAGATTAATCTAATGTGGTCCACACTACAGTGGCCGAAATAGTGAGAGAGAGATAGATGATAATACAAAAATATTAAGTAAACCTATATTTATTTCGCATAAAATTTTCAAATCTTTTTCAATGATGAAAATAGCAACCATAAAAAGATAATAAAAATTATATTATTAAAATAAGTACGTGTTACACTAAATGCATTGTAACGAATCACCTACTGATTAAAAAACAGAAATATTACGTAAAACACATTATTTTATCACAAAAATGTGATGAACCTATCATTACTTCGGCCACCGTATTTATTGTACATATCAGTAATGTTATCAGTGTATTTAAGCAACTGTTCCATTAACCATGTTTTTTTCCTCAATTCGGATAAGAGGTTCTACCGTATCAGAATCGAAAGATGCGGATCGTCGAGAAATCAAATCTTGAAGTTGAAGGTGCAATCGCTACGATAGATTTTGATTTCGTGGTTTCTTCGCGTTCCGATCCAAGAAGTCTTGTTAAAGAGGATTATCACTGCGACTTCGTGACACAGTCTTTGGTGTCTCTGAGAATCTGCTGCAGGCTCTTCAGGGCCTCCATTTGGGCCTCCGCGTGGCATTTGACGGCCTCCTTCAATTGCTGAGCGGCGGAGGACTCAGCATTTTTAACGGCGGCGTTCAAGCCTTTCGTGATTTCCTTTCGTTTTTGAGCGGCCTCCTTTGTTCTGCTCGCGACGCACTTGATGAAATCGTCCGTATCCAGGCATTCCTTCAGGATCTGTTTCATCGCGGCCCTCAGGTTCTCCGCCTTTTGCGACTCCTGATCGTACCTGGTCTTCACAGCGCGCAAGCCCGACGCGGCCTTCTCGTTGCAGATTTTGATTTTGCTATCGTAGGTGCCTTTGACGGCCTGCAGACGGTCCATTTGACCCTTCGAGCATTCCTGCAATAATTCACTCGAACCTCTATTCGGTCGTGTCATCTGGTCGCGAGCCGATCTACGAAAACCCGCCATTTCTGAATTACGAATTCCGAACGCAATCCTATGGAAATGCAGTTTACTGCTTTCTGAAATGAGAACGCCGGCGCACGGGCCGCATTCGATGCTCGCAAGAACCCTGAACTACCGAGATCATTTCTATAGCAGTGTCGCCAGTCTGACTTTCCAAGTGGCTGCGCCGTCATGTGCGAAGGGAATTTTAATCATCTTTTCGCGTTCTTATATCTTTCGACTTTGCTCGCTATTTTCTTTGCAGCAACGACGAAGTCGCATGCGAAAGCATTTTTTATAACAGTCCGTCGTTTAATGGCGGCCATTTCGCTGAGAACCAAGTACCAGTAACTGTTCAGATACAATTTTGAAAAGATATATTTTCATAGCGTTCTTTACGATGATTGAAATTGTGTAGACATTAATTTTTTAACTTTTACGTTTTTAGTTCTAACGAATTATTTGTTTGTAAAGAAAATGCGTACAGTACAAATTTTAGCTTGGGATCTCCATTTTAGTTCGAGTTTATTTTCATTTTAACGTTAACTGACTGCACCATAACTGTATATGTTGATAATTGATGTAATTGTTGGCTATGAAAATATTTTATCTACTTTTGTCTACTACTATATATATTTTCAAAATTTTGTCTGAAAAATTACTAGTAGGTACTTGGTTTTCAGCTAAATGCCCCCCCCCCTTCACAATTAAATTTGTAATGTGCAGTTGAAAATTTAGTCCGACATTGCTCTTTAGTATATTGTGGCAAGCGTTGTAGAATATTGTGTTTAGTAATAAGTATTTTCAATTTTTGAATTTGTTGAAAATAGCACTGAAAAAACCATTCCAAGGAAAGCAACAACTTCGATCTATTATTATGTCAAATTGAATAGGATTTCATCATTAACTATTTAGCTATTTCTGATGAATATACTCGTCATGAAGAAATGGCAACATTCTATGTCATGACGAGTATACTCATCAGAAATAGCTAACTAGTTAAGTCAAATAAATAAATAAATGTTAGCGAAAAATAAAATTAAAAAATTAAACTCATTTCGTTACAATTAATTTCATTAATTCTATATTATCACAGTCACACGTACACTTTTGAAAAAGATTGCAACTGGTTAATAATAACTACCAGTTTTGAAAAATATTTTGCAGTTCAAGAGCAGGAGCCAAACAGGGACCTCTTTCGATAAATTAATCAAAATTTATTTCATCATTATAATAACGATAAAATGAAATTCAGTTGCCAAATGGAGATCGGTGATGATCCTGTCCCCGATTTTAAATTATTTACGCTACGATCTAATGCAATTTGTCAGATATAGCGGTTCCCGTTCCTCGAAAATACAATATAATACCTCGACAGTATCCTGAACGACTCGGTGAGCTTTCTTCAGCTCCCCCGCGACAAACTCCTCGTTCTTCTTCACTATATCGCCCAGTTCTTTCCCAGTTTTCGTAAACAGTTGCTCCAGCTCTTTCATCTTCCGGTCGATATCCATTCTCGTTTTTTCCAGAACGTATTGAAACGCTTTCACGAAACTTTTCGTCGTGTCCTTGTGCTCCCCGCGTGCGTTCCAGCTCACCTTTCCGAGGAAAAATCAGTATTGTTCTCTCTCGATCTCGACACGGAAATCGTTACGGGATCGTCGCAACAACAGTCTCGATACACTCCGGTCTGTTTTCTGTGTGCGTTCCCGCGTTTCACTTTTCCCGCATTCGCCCGTACTCACCACTACGTGTCGTGTAATGTTGCAGGTGTAGTTCGACCAGACCATGCACTTGAACATATTTCGAGTAACATTTCTCTCTCTCTCTCTCTTTCTCTCTCTCGAGATCGCGTTGCGTCGTCGACGTTGATTTCCTGGGCGTTTCTTCGATGATCTAGCGTCGTTACGAAAGAAGCTTTGAATTATAATTCCAGACTATATCAGAATTAGTCACTTTTTAATTATTTTAGTAAATTGAAGATAGCGTAGTACATGTTTTTTTAATTCTTCTATGTCTTCATTTATTTATTATATTTCTGGGATTTCCCTTCCGGAATTTTGAAAGGTGAAATACAAATAGAATCACGATCATTAACAAACGTTATTCACTGCGCTTTCATAAAAAAATATAATCATACTCATCCTTCCATCGGATAATCAAATGTAAAATGAATCGTAGAATTTTCAATAAAACAGTAGACGTTATAATTAATATTTACTGTAGATATATACTTACCGACAGCAGTTAAACCTTCTTAATACACGATGAAAAATTGTATCGTGTCAACGAAAATATTAATTTGACTTCTTCACAATTTTTCAATTCTCCAGTAAAATATTTCGATATATTTTTCACCTTTTTCTCTCAATCTATTTTTAATTTAAAAACATTTTCTTGAATTATTTTCATTTTTATTATTGTATGTACTTGTCGTATGCATTAGTAACACGTACATTTATTAAAATGTCAATGTTATATACAATGTTCCTTAACTTTTGTCAGTAAGTATATACAATGCAATGTTTTGTATCATGTTCTAATGTAATACACCCGACGTTTAGCCCTACCTTTGGTGCAGCGAGAGGTTAAAATCTTTTCTTCGAGGAACGAGCAACGAATTAGCGCAATGAATAATACATACTGTAAATCGATACCACTGGCAATTTGCATAAATCGGTCGAAAGTAGAATAAGATCAATTAAAATCTATATTATTACCAGGATCTGCGAGCGAGCTCGACCTTCGAACGAAGTTATTCGACGGTCTCGTGAAATATTCAATCTGCTTCTTTCTTTTTTTTTCTATCGATTCGATCGAGAAAGTAAGTTCGACACGGCACCGGGAGGGCTCAAAGTTCACTCCGATGGCCGCAGGACTTCCGGCTCGAGAATAATTTATGGCGCCGTGCCGTTGGGGAGGAAAGAATCGGCCCGATTTTTCAATGGACCGGCAATCAAACGCGGTATCTTTCACTCGTGATTGCTGTGATCGGCGATTGTTCTCCTTCGAATTCGCGTTACCGTAAATGGAATGTTTACTTGTGCCGGCGAGGTTTACATTTGTTCGGTCGGGAGAACGTTTATCCGAGATAGTACTCTGACGCGGACAATTCTTTGTTTCTCATCTGCTTCGTGCGTCGCACAGTAGAATTTAAACATTTTGGTGTGGCCTTTCATCTGTGAAGAGCATCAAGATAAAATTTTCATTGATTTGATGTAGATAAGGTAACTACTCTAGAAATATTTAGAATGGAAAACATTTGTTTTGTGGTTCTCTTCTCAATTTTTTTAAACTTTTGTTGCTCTGAAATCATGTTAACCCTTTGCAGTCGGAGCCATTTTAACTCGAAATTTAAAATAGTTTCTCTGACCTATAGTGTTTCCGTTTTATACGAAATAGAATTTTGTAGCTCGTGCAACAATTACGCTATTAAGAGTTTCATAAATATAAAGAAAATTTGATAACGTTAACATTATTTTCAAACGTGACATAACAATTTTTAGTGGCGCCTTAGAGTCGCCACTCGTCTGCAAAGGGTTAAATGTTGTATTTATATATATATTTAAGTACAACATATATATATCATAGTATTAATATGTATATAATTTAATTATATTTAACTACACACATATATT